ATACTATCGCATTTATTCGCTCTGAAAACCAAGTTTAATGCGGGATCGATTAGGAGTGGTTTTGTGCGCCAAAGAGGCTGGGGATTGTTAACTAAATATATAACCTCCTAGTTTGTGAATTGTCCTCTGTTCGAACGGGTTCCATTAAGAGCCAGGCCTCTCTAGTAGTTAAAGTGCCACGACCTGCTTTCTTTTTCTAAATATAAACTTCCTCATTTCTCTTTGTCTAGAACAGTAAATCAGTGGATTAACAAGCGAGTTTATCGTGGCAAAGGCATGTCTCCATGGTTTCCAGCTTCTGCATTTATCCTTATGCCCTGCAAAAATCAGAAAAATACAAAAACCAACAGGAAGAAGGCAGACAAGAATAGCATCAGCTACAAGCACAGTTGTCTTAAGGGCCTTGTTCTCTTTGAAAATTTTTTCTACTTCCTCTTTGGGTAGTTGCTGTGCTCTTATCTTCCTTTGGTAACGGAGGGTCTCATGATACAAAATAACATATGCGAAGGCAACGAAAACGATAAAAGAAATTGCGATAAGGCTCGCTAAAGGATGAAGTGATTGATCTAATTTTATCATCCTTAAAATTCCAATTGTTAAGGCAGTGATCCCAACTACTAACACTGCTATTTTAAACATATTTTCAGTTATAACGTTTGAGTATTGCATAGTAAATTTGATCGCTATGAGCCTCTCGGAAGTAACCAACATCAGATGAAGGCATGAAGCAGTCATTAATATGACCATAACATTAAGATGAACATTTTCAACTGTTTTACTGCTACTAAGACCCAGTAGTTGGATTATCCTTCATAGAATCTACGATGGCTGGCTAAGGACACCTGTCAATACGTCAATCACCGCTAGACAGGCTAGGAAGATGTTGCTGTTGGTTGGGAGTCGAAGTCTTGTTTTCACGGCATGTATCACGAGGACGTTGAGCAGAACTGTGAAAGGACAAGTGATAATGTTTATGATGTTAGTGATAATAAAACTAAGCTCAAGTGGGACGTCGACATTTGCAGAACTAGTCATCTTTGAAGCGTTTCCTTGCCAAGAAAAGTTTGATATTCTTAGTTAAATGACTCGCATATGAAGATCACTTGAAACTTTTGATCAATATTTGGATTTTTGGAGGCTTTGATCGTCTTGCTGGCGTGCAAGTGTTCCCTCTCAACTTTTTCTTGCACATTAAGTACAATAATTCCTAATTCATGAGGCTGTCACTTTTTTTCGCTATGGTGAGTTGAAGAGTAATTCAATTTCAGAGATCGACCGGTTGGATATTATCGTTTATTCGGGCCATTTGATCGATCACCACTTTCAAGTTCATATGCTTCCACTTGACTTTTTCTCGCGGATGTATCAATTGTTTAATTGTTGATCGTAATTAATTGGTTAGAAATCACAAAATCTAAAGTCTGAGTTGATTAGAAGAAAGATAAAGTAAGCAAAAGAAACGGAAAGAAAAAGAGTTTTTGAACATCAAGTTATTGACTGATGGATACTAACGCGACTTTTCGGTTTGTTTCGTTCGAAATGATCGTAAATGAACTCTTAATTAGTGTTAAGCATGTATGATGATTTTCTTTGAAATAATGAGATACCAAATGGAATTCTGCGGGATCTCTTCCAACATAACAGCTTTCGAATTAAGCTTACTTATGACTTTTTACAGTGGAACGCCAATCATCAAATCACACTTACATATATTCTGAAAATTTTCACCATCAATACTTCATAAACACTACAGTAATTTACATTTTTTTTTACGGTAGCATTTCTCTCGGCTGAGAATGAAAATCGACAACTGGAAGATTTGCCACTGGCCGATTTTGGCCGATTACCTGAAAGACCTCCTCTGTCCATCTTAAGAGTTAGCGCTAACGCACTCTACTATTGTTATTCGGGGATTGTCGATTCATTTATTTTCATTTATTAATGAAGTTGGGTTTTCTTCTCAGTGAAGGGCTATTGTGTTTATATGATAAACAAAATAATACACGGTTGATATGAATTTTCTCTTCTCTGCGCTCACTCATGAGCTATCGAGTTGAACACGAGAAGAGAAATTCCATATCTATACGCGCGCCCATGCATTATTCTCTATATAATAGACTTACTGTGAAGACTCTGACTCTGAGCATAAAGTCTTTAGACAAGTGTGTGTAAAGCAGACATTGGGTTATCATGTAGAGTTCAAAGTCTACTACTTTCTAAGCCCCTCGTCTATGAAGTGTTCTCAAAATTTTAGCAAACTCAGAGAGAAGAGTCTCCATTTGCTAACTGTTTTGAAAGAAAATTTATAATATAACAATAATTGAATTCGGTTTCGCACGATATCGTAAATGATCAACCCTCGTGTCTGCGTTTCGTATTCCTCGGCCTTCGGCTTCGGCAGATACTTCAGACCTCGGCATTACTAATTCATGATATCATGCTAAAACTCATCCAATAATTGCTTATTATGTGAGTTACCAGCATGTCAGCTAGAAAAATTCCAGAGAGTTCTGAACTCGACTGCTCCTCTTGTGTTTAAAAAAGGAAAATTTTGCCATATGACACCTTATTATGAAATTCTGCATTGGTTACCTGTTAAGATGGTAATAGATCTCAAGGTTTTATTGCTCTCGTTTAAGGCCACTCACGGCTTTGCTCTGACACACAAGACTTTGGACATAGTATACCGAGTTGCTCATTAATTATCAGTATTAATACTTCTAAATATCATCACTTGTACTATTACTAAAATGGATAATTTTAACTGGCTTAGCTTTATTTTTAACATTATGGTGCACAGCTGAAAATGGTAAAATGATATCTTCGTTTTGTAAATTAATAAATATAATTATTTGATAATGATTTGGCTAACAAAGGGCATGTGCCTGTATCTGATGCTTTGATCTTTTCCAACATTACAGCTTTCTAGTTTAACGTGCATATGACTTTAAACAATGCAACATCAATCATCAAATTACACTTACAAAAATTGAGAATACAAGGTGATGTAAACAAACGAAAATTAAAGAAGCAAGAAGTCGGAAAGCGCATGTTTCAAATTAGTCATTTGCAGTCTGATACATGGAATAATAATCAGGCCTTTTGTTGTGCGAAACATTGACGATTGCTTCTCTGTCACTCTAAAAATCTCACAAATTAGAGCTATCATCTAAATTACTTTCCTTCATTTCTTTATGATAACATTTGTTTTAATTCTTAAGTTCTGCATCATAAATGTGATCGCCATGAGCCTCTAGAAAGTAACCAACATCTACTAAAGCGATGCAGCAATTATAGATACAAGTGCATGTGAAATGGAAATGTTCAAGTCTCTCAATACACGATAAGAGGAATATTTACATGAAACGATGAAAAAAGCGCATAGTTATTGTGATTTTTTTCATCGTATGACTTATTGTCCTATCAAATCAGTTTACAATATTTATTAGGATTGATTTTCTCTGCCAAATTACCCCCTTTTACTCAGAAGCTGGATGCACAAGCTGGGTTCTTATTCCAAATACAAACGTCCTCATTTCTCTTTGCCTGCAACAGTAAATAATTGGATTGACAAGAGAGTTTAACATTACGCACGTTTGCCTCGATCTTCTGCTGATGGGGCAATTATTAAGAATGCCTGAAATTGAACCGATAGAACAGAAACTAAGAGGAAGAAGGCAGATAATAACAGCACCAACCACTAGCACAGTTGTCTTTAGCGCCTTGTTCTCTTTGGTAAATCTTTCTACTTCTTCTTGGGGCAACTGCTGTGCTTTTATCTTCCTTTGGTGGCGACGGGTTTCATGATACAGAATCATATAGGTGAAGGCGACGAAAACGATACATGAAAAAATGACAAGGACTAACATAGAAATGAAAACTACACGAAGTTTTACTGTTCTTAAAATTGCAATTGCAATAGCAGCTAACCAACATACTGTCACGGCTATCTTTATATTATTGTGAGTTATTACGTTTGAGTATTGCATCGCAAACTTGATCGCTATGAGCCTCTCGAAAGTAACCAATATCAGATGAAGGCATGAGACAATCAATAACACAGACATGACATCGATATGGAAACCTTCCACTGTTTCGCTGCTTTTGAGATTAAATAACTCAAATAACCTCCACAGGATATACAAAGATTGGCCAAAGAGACCAGTCAATGCGTCAGTCACCGCTAAACAGGCCAGCAAGATGTTGCTGTTGGTTTGGAGTCGAGGTCTTGTTTTCACGGCCTTTATTACGAGGACGTTAAGCAGAACTGTGAAGGGAACACTGATGCTGTTGATGATGATAATGATAATGTGACCAGCCTCCCATGAAAAATTTGCTGTACTAGCCATTGCTGGAGCGTTTGTAGCGTCTGTTTTGAGGCTCTGATCGACCCACTTTTATCTCGAATGCACATGTTAGCCATTATTGCGCCTGAAGTGCAGTAATTCCTAATTGAATGATAGATTGGGTTGTCAAAGTTGTTTGACATGGCTAACTTAAAGTGTAATGAGAATCAACTCAAAAGCATAGATCGACTCTTTCAGAATTAGCTTATTAAGTGCGATTTGATGTTCATGTACATGTGTTTCCACTTGACTTTTTCTCGCGTATATATCCATTGTATAGTTGACGAAGTTGTTCGTTTCGTTGGAAATCACAAAATATGAGTTTGGGTTGATTAGAGGAAAAATGAAATAAGTAATATCAGGCAGACGAAGTTGCAATGGGAGAATATGAAGAAGAATCTTATCTATGATGAATTGCCTGAATCTTTAAGATAATTCAATTGAATTGAACTCTGGTTGTTTTGTTTTCTTTTGTATGGCTTTTTAAAGTTTTTGTAGCCATTTAGTCTTCTCTGCGGGGAATTTTTAACGATTTTGAAAGTTATCTTAAACTAAATTTGTCTTGTACCTGACATACTGAACCTGATAAGAAAGAACTCAATTTTTCGAATAACTTGTCAAATTTTTTTTGTGATTACGACTTTGATGTACCGCTGAGACCATCAGTTGCTGATGTTTCCACTTGCGTTTTTCTCATGCATCAGGATAAAAATCAATTGAATCTTTATACAGTTATTCCCACAAGATACTTAAAAATAAACTTCTCATCAATGTCTTCCCCCTTTTCCAAAGTCAGTTCGCACACGCAAACCAGTAAACTCATTTAGAAACAATCAAGCATAACCCTAACAGTGTATTCGGGTAAAAATTTTAAATAAAAATCTGTGAGTTCTATGCATTTTCTCAACAGCATTACAAGTGCTCTTTTTAAAAAGTGTTCCTTTTCCGACCCTTTCGCTCTAAACATGAACTAATCCTTCGAATACTTTGATGTTGAGATCGGTTTCATTTTCATAAATTTTCTTGCTCTGAATATGCTGAGACTGCTATTGTTACTTCAACTGACGCTGAGGTGAATACTTAGCTCGATATAAAGCAAAGTTCATTATACCGTCGAGAAGTTTAAAAAAAAAACCTGAAAGGCGTCGAGAAGACTGATGTCAGCGGACAAACATCCGTGAATACTTTCGCGCCAAATAGAGGCTATTGTCTAGTGATCGCTTCTACAAAAATTGGGCTTGCAAAGGCTGTAAAGATTTTCGACTAATAAAAACACATTTGGCGAGATCTGTTATTTTTTTCACGATTTTACATTATGGGATTAACTCCTAGCAGAGCTTGAAAGAAGTCCGTTTGATTATAATGGACTAATCATTTTCATGGCAGATTTGCTTTGTTTTATTGTTTCGTAAATATGGACTGAAAAGTTATTCTTAGGAAATGCTTAACTTTAAACCAAATGAAGCATCGGTTTTCCACCGCATATCCTCCCTCCGCTCTCGTGCATTTAATGGTTACACTCTTACGATTATTTAGGCGGGAGATCAAAGCCAAGAGAGCAATTAGAAATTGAGGTATTCCACAACACAGGGTTGACTTAAAGTGTAGGAGAGAATGCTGGCTAGGAAGGCGTTTTTCGCACAATATTTTCTGAGAAAATTCTATTACTTTTCATAGTTGGCGAATCAAACTTGTTTTTGTGATGGCTGACAATCACTCACACCTCCCCTTTTTACTGGCTCACCGAGATACGATCAGTAAGATTATAAGCTGACTGAAAAAAGGAAGAAAAAAAACCAAGAAAACAAAAAACAACAATAACGCCATTCGGTTCTAAGTGTGCGGTGGATCGGACGCAAGAAACACGTACTAAGCACAAGAAGAAGTCAATTAAAATTTAAAATTAGGGAGGACTTCATAAATTTTGTTGAGGAGTGTAATTGGTTTTATAATCATATACTCGTATCAGAATTTCCTGGCCTTAAGCTTCATGAAACAAAAAACGAAA